GTTTACGTCCAGGAATTTTTGAGCATGCGCACAACGCTGCAGTTAAAAATGACGTCTTTTCCTGTCCACCTGTAGCGGCGCTGCAGCGGTAAGACCGTTAACAGAATGAAACCAGGAGATGTAGCCGATTCATTCAGCGCTGTGCGCCACAGCAGAGGGACAAAAACACAGAAAAACGTTAAAAAACAACTCCACACCTCTGGTATTTTTCTCTCTTTTTTTTCTTGTTCTTTGTGTCGCCTTTGCTACATGCAAACCTGTTGCCATAGCAACTGACTAGCAACAACTTTATGCATCAGGATTCAACACCAAAAAACACACAAAAACATTTCCCCCCCAAAAAAACAACAGAACATTCAGTCCATTACAATTTTTAGTTTTCGGGTTTGGAGTTTATTTTACAAATAATATGTGATAGCTGCGGTAGATTAGCTACAGCTGTTATTAGCTAACACAGTGGTGGTTGATTAGCTAATTTAAACTCCTGCTCTACTGTTGATCTTTCAGAGTTGGTGTTTAGGTTGCCTTTTTTGTTCTTTACTACACTGAAAAACCAAATTCTGCAGCTCCTCTGCATGTTACAGTTGTCAAAGTCAAGCTAGCATAGCTGAGCTACTTCCCTCTCCCTCGCTAAAACTTTTCATGACCTTATGGTTGTCGTAATGTTGACAATTGGTAGCAAAGCACTGTAATTTGCTGGAATTAAGTCATTTTATTTATTTTTTCTGGTGCAGAGCAGAGGGAATCCCAAAGCTCCGCCCCCTCTTCCTCCTCTTCCTCCTGTTTGCTGTCAGGGAGTGGAGGAGGATGTGGATGATCTGATCCGGTCAGCAGAGCCTGGTGATGATGATGGTGCTTCATCCTCTCTGTTTTTATACAGGCTGAGGTGGAGCGAGCAGGTTCGGACCAAACCGGGCCGGGTCGGGCCGACCCGAGGCTGAGGAACATCAACGCCCCAACAGGTGAGACCGCAGGCAGGAGGAGGAAGCCAGACTGTCCCGTTTCAGAGCAGAACCTCTGAGGCCCGGTGAGGGGTAACTGGACCTGAAGGTTCTGGACATTATGGAGTCTTTGTTTGGGTTCTTTAAAGTGAGAAATAAAGTTATTTTGGGTCCTGGGAAGGTTCTTCTCTGGTCCGGGTGTGGGTGACGGTCCTGCTGAGGCCCAGAACCTCAGAGACGGTTCTGGATCTGGTTCTGACTGACGAAGGTCAGAGACTTTGACTCACGTTAGTTCTGAAGTTTCAGAGATTAGGCCGGGATTATCTGAGATCCGTCAGGATGATTCATTCTGTCAGACGGGTTCTGTGAGGATGATGAGGATGAGGATGATGATGATCATCATCATCATCATCACCTTCTTCATCATCGTCTCTCTGGTTCTTTGTGCCGAATCGTTCTGGTCTGCTGCTGCTCTTCATCACATCCGCAGAGACTCATTAACCATCTTCATCATCGAGAAACATTCTCAGTTTGGCGCCGATCCAAACGGATCAGAACCGATCCAAACTGATTCAGACTCTCACCTGACAGTCCGTAACGAGCTGAGTCAGATTACCGGAACCAGAACCGTGAACCCGGCTTGTACATCAGGCTGAAGGAAGCCGGAGTACCAGGAGAGAACCCACCGATCCCCAGGCAGAACCTGCAGAACCAGGCCGGGATTCAAACCCAAAACATTCCAGCAGAGCCGCCTGAGCTGCTAACAAACGGTCCAAACGGGCCGCGTTAGGACAACAGGCAGATAAAATCTGAGCTTCTTAAAGAGACAGGTCAGATTTTTGGAGCTGGGATTCTGTGGAGAAGCTGTGAGTCGTCAGTGTCTTCCATGAATTGGATCAGAGCCTGAATGGATTCTGGTTCTGATGACAGACTGACACCAAACCAGTTCAGTCACAAAAGTATTTACACCCTGTGAAGTAAGCCGGCTTCCTTCCCAGACAGGAAGTGGTTACAGTTAAACATCCTGTCGCACGGACTCAGGTTCTGGAAGAATGTGGTTCAGAACCGATCCGATCTCTGGTAATACAATCTGGTTCTGAGGTCAGAGGTCAGCTGCAAACACTCCAGATTCCTGCAGTCAGTGATGCAGAGAGGTGAGATCTCACCTGGGCTGCTTGGTCGGTTTGAGGATCGGGTCATGTGACCCGGTTCAGGTGAGTCACCTGAGCAGGAAGAGCAGCCGCCACTTCTCCGCCTGCCTTCAGCGTCTCATCATGTCTCGGCCCGGCTGGCATCATGGCTGCTGCTCTCCCCTTTACAGCGCCGCTTCCTGTTGCTTCCCCCGGGTCCGGTTCGGCGCCTGGCGCTGCGTTTCCGTGGCGATGTTCCGGCGCAGGAAGAAGAAGCATCGGCTGGAGATCTCGGCGCCGCGGGACTTCCAGCACCGCGTCCACACGTCGTTCGACGTCTCGACGGGACGCTATGTGGGTCTGCCAGCGCAGTGGCAGAGCGTCATCGACACGCTGAAGAGGCCACGCCCCCTGGTGGACCCATCCAGGATCACCAACATTGATCTGGAACCCAGAAAGGTCAGAGGTCAAATTCAATATCAGTGAATTCTGGCATCTGATACTCATCAATTATAAACTACAATTTTAGTTTATAGTTTTCTTTCTTTTTTTATAACATTTCTTTTCTTTTTCTATATTTCTTTTTTAATTTTTTGTGTTGCAATAAAAACATTTTCATGTTTTCTTGTTTAATTTCTTAAAATCATATTTCTGGTTTTAGTTTTTCTTTGTTTTATTTTTAACCAGATTTATTTTTTTCTCTTTTTGTAGTTTGGCTTTATTCCATTTAGAAAACAAAACAAAACAAAGGTTAAGTTATTTTTCCTCTTGTTTACTTTTCTAATCAAATTGTTTGGTTTTTTCCTCCTTTTTACTACACTTTTTAAAAAATAGTTGTATCGTTGTCTTTTTTCCTTTTTAAAAAATGTATTACATCTTTAAAATATTTGTTTTCTTTCCTTTAATTCTTATTTCCGTTTTCATAAAATTTCTGTTTGTTTTTTCGTAAATTTCTATTCTCAATATTGTTTTTTTAATTTTCTTTTTAATTTAGCAATGTAATAATAAATCACAATATTTTTCCATATATATGTATTTTTACTTTAAAATCATGTATTTATTATTTTCTTGTAAACTGATATGTATAGAAATGATAAAACTTTCACAGACTTTTGCTAGCTAACGCTAACTAAGAAGCTATTTGTGCTAACCCGAAAGCGCTAATCATAAACATTGGTTTTGCTCATGCTAAAGCTCTAAACCAATGAGGTGTTTAGTGTAAGCTAATAATAAAGTGCGAAATTCAACCATGATACAAAGGCTACAACTTAGTGTATTGCCCTCAAAAGGGTCAAATTGATTATTACACACAATTAGCACAACTATTAGCGGGTTAGCAGGTTAGCGGTTTACCTGAGGTGTGGCCAGCGCTGCCTGAATGAACTCGTTGTCCCGTTTGTTCGCCAGCAGACGATCGTTCGCGGCAGCTTCATTGGTCATGGCGACTACATCAGTCATGTGATCTCCGAGATGAGCCGCGTTTCCGTCACCAGCTCCAACTCGCTGCGCCGCACCAGTCCGTCGGCACGGAAACGCGCCCAGTCAATGGGGCGGCTGGGAGACGTGGCGGAGGACGAGTCGTACCACTACCTGGAGATCAGCCGGCGGAGCAGCAGCGTGAAGGCCAGCGGGAGCGCCACCTACTGGCAGGACCGCATCCGGCAGGTGCGCAGCGAGAGCGGCAGCCCCAGGGCAAACAGGAACCTGCAGAGAACCACATCCAGCAGCCAGGTGAGCCCTGTACCTGAGGCCGCTCCGCTCTGCCCCACGTCGCCTCAGAGGACGACCTACACGCCTGAACCCAGCGTCCGCAACGGCGGCGTCGGGCTAAAGCAGAGGCCGACCTCCTACCACCAGGCGGCAGAGACCGGCAGGCCTCAGCTGAGACCCAGAGCCGGAGCCAATCACCTGCCGGACCTGCTGTCGTCTTCCACAGAAACCCCCAGGAGGCCGCATTCGACCTACGACCTTAAGGTAAGACCTGGACCGGAGGTCAAGTTTATTTGTATTTACACTGCAAAAACACAAAATCTTACCAAGTACTTTTGATCCAGTTTCTAGTGCAAATATCTTAGAACACTGGAAATAAGGTAAAACTAACTTATAAGTAACTTTTCAGCAAGAAATATCAGCTTATTTTAAGTCACTAATTTCTTAATGTTGATAAAAATGTGATGGTTCCATTCACTGATTATTTAACTAAAAACATGGGAAAATGTTTTATTATAAGTTAAATTATCTGCTAATGAAATAAGCACTTTTCAAAAAAATCAATATTAAGCAATTATTGACTTAAAACAAATAAATGATATTGCATTAACGAAATTATTACAAAAGGACTCTCATAGCAAGAGACGAAAATCTATGGATGATAATAATAATAGTAATAATAACAACTAATGATAATAATAATAGTGAAATAATAATAATAATAATCTACTAATATAGTAATAATAACACAGAAGAAAGGAAGAAAAAACTCAAAGGGAAGCTATTGCCATGACAATAGCTACTCTTCCTGGGGTTCACATCATAAATAAAACATTTATTACAAAAACAACGCAGGAAGAATAATTTCTGCTACAGTAGAGACCATTCCTTACATAACTGAACCTGTTTGTTCCGCCAGTTGCCATCTTCCCGCCCTCGGCTGCCTCCGCCCAACAGCACCAGCAGTCCCATCATCACCAGCCGAGTGCTGCCCCAACCTTCACCCCGCCCCTCCACAGGGGTCACAGTTTCTACCAAACGCACCTCCTCGCCGCCCCAGACGAGCACCACACAGCCTAGCCGCCCCGCTTCCTCCACCCCTCCTGCCGCCCCGGACAGAGCGCCCCAGAAGGTGACCCACGAGACGTTCAAGGCGGCGCTGGAAATGGTGGTGGACCCGGGCGATCCCAGGGTGACTCTGGAGAACTTCGTGAAGATCGGGGAGGGCTCCACCGGCGTTGTATGCATCGCCCGGGAACGGCACAGCGGGCGCCAGGTGGCGGTGAAGATGATGGACGTGAGGAAGCAGCAGCGCAGGGAGCTTCTCTTCAACGAGGTACGGGTTGACGGGCTAACCAAAACTAACGAAATAACGAAAACTGAAAACAGTAACTGAAATAAATACAATAATTAATGGGGAAAAACTATAACCAAATGGAACTATGTCACAAATTTATAAAACTAAAACACACCGAAGTTATAATACTATATCCTTTGTTTTTCGGGTTCATGAATATATTTATTATCCTTTGAACTGATATGAAACAAGTAGTTTAAGTCAGCGGTCGGCAAATTACTGCACTGCATAGTCCACAAAATGGCACCAGCAAAAATTGGGAAAAAACTCCAGAGTCAGCTGGTTGTTCAACGATAAGAAAGTTTGATCTTCTGTCGAGTTTTTATTACCTAATCAATGTAAACATAATCACAAAACTTTGACATTTGTTAATTCTGCACAGAAAAATTAACCAAGTATGAAAAAACTAAAACTACAAATAAAACTACAAATAATAATAACTAAGCTAAAACTAATCAATATTCAATTAATTAAAAACAAGAAAACAAACTCTAAAAAATAACTAGAACTTATTTTGTCACAACAAAATATAACTAGACTATAATGAAAAACCCAAACTGTTATCACCTGGTGATAGATTTATCAGTTTCTTTATGTTGGATGTAAAGCAAATTAAAGCAAGCGTTTTCTGTTTTCCTCCCAGGTGGTCATCATGAGGGACTACCAACACCCCAACGTGGTGCAGATGTTCCGCAGCGCGCTGGTGGAGGACGAGCTGTGGGTCATCATGGAGTACCTGCAGGGCGGCGCTCTCACACACATCATCGGTGAAACCAGGTGAGCAGCCGCTCCAGGTGCATGCAGGTAAATGTACTCAGATGGGATGTTTAGTGATGTTTTGGTGTTCAGGCTGAACGAGGAGCAGATAGCGACGGTGTGTGAGGGCGTCCTGCAGGCGCTGTCCTACCTCCACTCTCAGGGCGTCATCCACCGAGACATCAAAAGCGACTCCATCCTGCTCACGCTGGACGGCAGGGTAAGCTTCTCCAGGCTTTTGGAGGGAAATTTATCTAAGCACTTTCTGTAAGGAAAGTCTGAATCTTAAACAACTCCTCACGGGACACAGTCAAACACACATACTTGTTTTTATGGCATTGTGGGAACTTTAGATAAAACCATTCGTAAAGGGGACTACTCTGAATTCTAAATTATACACAGTGTTAGAATAAGACAGAGGTGGAAAAAAGACTGAAACAAAAAACAAATAATTAATTTAATTTTGTTTAATAAATTTAGATCAATAAACTATATTTCATAAGGCTTTTATCAATAAACCCACCCAGTTTATGCAAGAAGTACATTTTTATCCTGGATGTCATCTTGAGGACCAAATCCAAATTGATGGGAACATAATCTGAGTTCTTATTGCTTATAGTTAATCCCATTTTGTTGGTTTATTTCTCTCCACCTGCTTTGTGAGAACAGACCCACTATGTTATTATGTTAGCTTTGAGCACTGCACTAAATAGATGGCACCATGAGGAAAAACCTTTATGTAGAAATACTGAAGCAACATCAAAGCTCAGGTACAGACTGGTCATTAGTGTATGTAAACTTCTGATCTTGAAGACAATAACTAATAAATCTGACCGATTACCTCAGTATTGAGGCTCTTAGCAAAATCATTTTTGTGATTCTGATCTGAAACAAGAGAAGTTTGGTCTGATTTAACTTCAGATTTACAGAAATAGACACTGTATGTAAACTTCTGGTTTCAGCTGAACAATAAGCCATCAGTTCAGATAAGCGATAAACAAAACCGGACAGGCCGCAGAACATTTCGGCTTGTTCATGTTTTTAGTTTGTGAGGAATTTCTTCCAGGCAGGGAGAAGAAAATGCGGCTTGGCAGCATGTTTCTACTGATAAAATCTTCTAAGTCATTACATCTAATAACAGAAACCGCATCAAGTAGTTTATTAACAAGCCAAAGTTTTCTGTAAATCCAGGCATTAAGGCCGTAAATGCCAGCAGTAACTATTTATTTCCTGCTGCAGGGTTTGCTTCAGGCACAGAGCAACACAACTATTTTATGTGTTAAAGTGACACTAAACAAGAAAATGATTTCAGCTCTGCTGCCTTTACGTTCTGCTGATGGGAATTACAGGAATGTACGACGGCTTACTAGAGCGACTGTAGACAGGAAAACAGGACTTTTTCCACTAAAACAACTAGAAAAAAACAGGAAACTTCTGGGGGAAAAAAATCAAAATTTCTGAACTCAAAAACTGAAAACTCTGAAATGTTAAAATTAATTTAACATATTTTCTACTTTCTATCCTGCTGCAGATAAAATTGTCCGACTTTGGTTTCTGCGCTCAGATCAACACTGACGTCCCAAAGAGGAAATCTCTGGTTGGGACTCCGTACTGGATGGCTCCGGAGGTAATCTCCAAAACGCCGTATGGCACAGAGGTGAGGCACTGCTTTGTTTTGATTTACCAAATTAAATAAGTTATATTTGTTTGAAAGGCTTAGCTTGGGCTGATGTAGATATAGTTTGCATCAGGTAAAAACCTTAGAAGCAATGTTTTACTGTACAGCATCTTATAAATGGCTTGTAACATTTAACTCTGTCCCCAAGGTGGACATTTGGTCTCTGGGCATCATGGTGGTGGAGATGGTGGACGGTGAGCCTCCGTACTTCAACGAAACGCCAATCAGTGCCATGAAGAAACTGAGAGACGAAGCGGCACCGAGTGTCAAGAACATGCAGAGGGTCAGAAACACGTGCACACACACACACACACACACACACACACACACACACACACACACACACACACACACACACACACACACACACACACACACACACACACAGTTTGTTGAAATTTTTCCAACATTAAAATCATTTACATTTTGAAGAAAACCTGTTTTTACTCTTTATACGAACATATGTATTTCTTTCTAAATTATTTTCAAACTTTTACCCTAATTTAGCTCCATACAATAATCTTTGCCAAAAAAGTAATTAAAACTGAAAATAAATTGAAACAAAAAAAATGTTTATATTGTTGGTTAAGTAATAATTATAACCCCCCCACCAAAAGAAAAACAAACAACCCCACCAATTGATATTATGTTATGTTTTGTTATATTATTAAATAATAAAAACAAAAGATCCCAACAGTCGTCCTCACAGAAGTTTGATGGCGTAGCATTTAATCAGCAGCAGAACGACGATGCAGAAATAAATCGTATTTCAGCCTTTTAGCTTCTCCAGGTGTTCTGCAGCTGATGGTGTCTGTGTTGGCTGCAGGTTTCTCCGGTGCTGAAGGACTTCCTGGGCTGCATGCTGACACGTGACACGCTGCAGCGCAGCGGCGCTGCCGCCTTGCTGCAGCATCCCTTCATGCTGCAGGCCGCCGCGCCGCGCTGCCTGGTGCCGCTGGTGGAGCAGCACCGCAAACGCATGTCGCTCTGCTGAGACTCACCTGGATCCGACCGGACCTGAGACTCACCTGCAGCCACAGACTGGAGGATCCTCAGGTGGATCACACCTGATGCTTCAGGATTTACATAATACACCTGAGATCACACTAAAGACTAACCTCAGGATTCACCTGGCGCTTCAAAAGGACCACATGTTTTCTTTCTACTTTTTTATTTTATTTTTATAGAGACGTTAAGGAACCTTTTCAGTGTTTCAGGCAGGAAATGGAAGGGATGCGATGTGTAGCGAAGGTCCAGAGGTCAGAGGTCAAACTCCAGATTACTGCTTCCAGGATAAATATCCTCTGAACTCGAAGTGGCGGCTGCTGCAGCTGATTTTAGTTTTATAAACTTCAGCCTGAACTTGAGCTTTTAAAACATTTCATGTTCCTTCTAATTTTAGCTATAATTCTTAAATTTACATGTTCAGTTAAAATAAAAACAATTCCAAACAAATTAGAATAAAATAAATCAGGTTTTTATTCTGATTTCAGATCAAATCGCATTTCATGTTGATCTAATTAACAAACATCTCAGAAATTAAACAAGTTCTCCTATTATCAGAAATATTTCAGTTTTTTGTTAATTATGTTGATTTATTGTTAACATTTGCACTTGTTCGCATTTTGATGTTTGTGAGCTTTTTATACATACGGGAAATGTTGAATAAATATCAGTGTTCTTCTGTCAGATTGTCAATTTTTGCTTACGTTCTGCTATTTTATGAGCAATATTACATTAAACCAAAAATTATTTAATTTTCATTAATAAACCATCAGGATAGACTTATAGGTAAAGCAGGAGCAACATGTATGGAGAGCAATTTTAGTCACAATTAAATACTGTTAACAAATACTCAATCAAATCATGAAATAAAAACAAAATAAATATTTTTAAAATGTATATTTTTAATTTGGGAGCTTACGTTGTCAAAGTTTATTTATTAATTTATGTAATTTTGAAGAAAATGGCTTTCCACAGACATTTGAGTCTAGACGTTCATTCAACACTGAGGATTATTTAATTCCATTTTAAAAACAGATTTATCTCATTATGATGCTGATGTTTGATATGGATTATAAACATTTTACACTTACATCTCCTTACAAAAGTATTAACACCTTTTCAGTATTTTCCCCTTTAGGTCGATTAAACCAGGGGTGCCCAAAGTCGGCCCGGCGTCCTGCATTTTTTAGTTCTCTCCCTGGTTTAATGCACCTGGATCAAATGACGGCTGATTAGATGCCTAAGAAGAACATTGACAAGCTGAAAAGGTTTTTACTACCCCCAGGGAGAAAACTAAAACATCCAGGATGCCGGGCCTCCAGGACCGACTTTGGGCACCCCTGGATTAAAACCACAAATTTTGAGCATCTCCAGCTCAGATTGGATGGAGAACATCTGAATACGTCAGTTTCTAAGTTTAACCACAGAACATGTGCATTTATATTTCCTGCACAGCTGAACTCTACTGCCACCTGCTGGAGCGTCATCTTAATGACGGTTTTCAGGTCTGCGTGAGGTCAAACTGGTGATCTCTTCTTTTTAGGGCATAGAGGAGGAGCTCAGGATACTGGGATGTTGAAGTTTAAGGGCTTTTAAAGGATTTATGTTTTATTTTAATAAATCAACAGTGCGGTCGTTGCCAAGTTCAGAGAATCAAATGTTAGTTTGGTTACTTCAGATCATGAACTAAGGCAGAAATTCACACATTTCCTGGTCAGGTTGGGTTGATTTCTGGGTTTCTTCCTCACAGAACAACAAAATCTCTGATCCAGTAAAGAATCCCGTTGGTTTCTTAATCTGAAAATAATTTTCCTGAATAAAAAACAGATCAGAACATCTGCAGCAGATTAATACCAACACATCTCTGAGGCTGCAGATAAAACCCGTCAGGTTTCTATTTCCAGACTGGAGAGTCAGAGATAAAGAGACACAAACTCTTCAGCTCATCACAGAACACTCATCATATCAGCGATTAACAGAAACATCTTTCCTCTTGTCCTAAAAAGTTAAAGCAGCTTTTAATAAAATGTCAGATGTGACTTTGTCATTTTAATTTAATGCAGCTGCTTGCATTGTATCACAAACTGCTTGTTTTTCTTGGATGCATGCCTGAGGACGGCTTAAGAGGGATAAATATCAGTTTTTTATCTTGTTGGCAGCATACAAAAAGCCCTCAAGTGAAAATTGTCTTTCACTTGAGATCAAAATTAAACATGTAGCTGGACATCACCATGGAGATAAACAGGATTAGGAGGGGAAGGACAAGAAGGACTTATTTACTTCCTGATGGAAAAGGATGATTTGCAGAAAATCACAAAGATCTCTACTTTTAAAGCGATGTAGTTTCTGCAAGAATAATCAACATTTACTCTCTCTATAGGGCTGTATGGAGCTAAATTAGGACCATAAAGTATGAAACTGAAAAAATAGATAAGAACTGCATTTTCAAATTCAGTGTTTTTTTTTCAGGTTCAATTTTTAATTTCAGTTTAAAAATTTATTTTCAGTTAATTTTTTTTTCCAGTTTCAACGTTTTTAAAACAAACTTGACAATATGGGGCTAAATCATGGCAATAAAATGAAATCAAAAAATAAATTTGAAACTGAAGATAAAAGAGGAAACTGAAAGAAGCCAATTTTCAGGGTCAGGATTTTTTTAGTTTAAGAAATTATATTTCTATTTCAAAATTATTTTTCAGCTTACATTTATTTTTTTCAGTTTGAATTTATTTTTTTAGTTTTTTTAATAAGCTTCATGGCCCCAACTTAGCTCCATATGGCTTTATTTTTTTATTGTGCATACATTTTCCCTTTTCGTTTTAAAATGTTTAGCTTTTTATTTTGTGTTGTAAAGGAAAATAATTGACATTCAATAACCTATTTAGATTAACTGAAACAGAAGGATATGATCGATCATCCATCCATCCTCCATCTAACACCCTGGTCCCTCGTGGGGTCGGCAGGGGTGCTGGTGCCTCTCCAACGAACGTTTTGGGCGAAAGGTGGGGTACATCCTGGAAAGGTCGCCAGTCTGTCGCAGAGGGATATGATCAATATGTTTGTAAATGTCAAAAAGTGAATACAATTTTAAAGAGCAGAGAAAAAATAATTATTAATTCTGGTTTCTGTGTTGATATCATTTATCCATCAAAATAAATAGAAAAATGATGATCGGATAAAGTTAAGTATCTTTGAAAATATCTTTTAGATTCAATGCAGTTCATTTAAATTTTGTAAAATAAAAGAAAAACTGAAAACAAGAATATTTTTGTATTATTTGAGGTCATTTTCTTTAATTCATATAGTATTTTGCATGGAAATGTGATTCATCAAGGTGCATATAAAAAAAAAATCAAAACAAACCAGATAATTCTTGAAATCTAAATCTCAGTTTGCACAAATTACTTTTGGAAGATTTAATAGTAGCTAATGAACGATAAATTCTAATAAGCTTTAGAATTTGTACAAAACATTTGTATCAAGTTTTGTTCTGTAGTTACTAGAGATGTTTGAGAGCTACACTGGAGTCTAAATGAAGACCGTCTATCAGCAGGCAGATAAGCAGCGATTCTCTGGTTCACCTCAAAAGGACTGCAACACCCAAAGGTCCAGAATCTGCCCTCATGGTGCGTTCAGAGACACATTTAGATCTGCAGCTGCTTCCGTCTCACCAGATATCTCCTAATTTGGTCCAAAGGGAGGATTTATAAATCTGTGTCGTCTTCACCATGCTGCAGTTCTGCAGAGGGAGTGGAAGTGAAACGTTTTGTTCTCTAGCTGTTCTTCTGTCTACCGTCCACCATGGGTGATGCTCTGATGGCTGAGTTTGGGAAGGCTGCCCCTTTCCTGAGGAAGTCTGAGAAGGAGCGCCTGGAGGCTCAGACCAGACCGTTTGACATCAAGACTGAATGTTTTGTTGTGGATGATAAAGTGGAGTACATAAAAGGACAGATCATCAGCAAAGAAGGAAACACGGTGACCGTCAAGAAGGAAGATGGCACGACAGTGACGGTGAAGGATTCGGATGTTCATCCCCAGAATCCGCCCAAATTCGATAAAATCGAAGACATGGCGATGTTTACGTTCCTTCATGAGCCGGCGGTGCTGTTTAACCTCAAAGAGCGCTATGCCGCATGGATGATTTACACCTACTCTGGGCTCTTCTGCGTCACCGTCAATCCTTACAAGTGGCTCCCAGTCTATGACTCGGAAGTGGTGGCAGCCTACCGGGGTAAGAAGAGGAGCGAAGCGCCCCCTCACATCTTCTCCATCTCCGATAATGCCTACCAATACATGCTGACCGACAGGGAGAACCAGTCTGTCCTCATCACCGGAGAATCTGGTGCAGGAAAAACGGTGAACACTAAGAGGGTCATCCAGTACTTCGCCAGCATCGCTGCAGTTGGAGGCGGAGTCAAAAAGGACAGCAGCAAGGGGACTCTGGAGGATCAAATCATCCAGGCAAACCCGGCACTCGAGGCCTTTGGCAACGCCAAAACGCTGAGAAATGACAACTCGTCTCGTTTTGGAAAATTCATCAGGATTCACTTTGGCACAAGTGGGAAACTGTCATCGGCCGACATTGAGACGTACCTGCTGGAGAAGTCCCGTGTTACATTCCAGCTTAAGGCTGAGAGGAATTACCACATCTTCTACCAGATCCTGTCCAACCAGAAGCCTGAGCTGCTGGATCTGCTGCTCATCACCAACAACCCGTACGACTACTGCTACATCTCCCAAGGAGAGGTAACGGTCGCCTCCATTAACGACTCTGAGGAGCTTATGGCAACAGACAGCGCCTTCGATGTTCTTGGCTTCACTGCTGAGGAGAAAACAGCTGTCTACAAACTGACCGGTGCCATCATGCACTACGGCAACATGAAGTTCAAACAGAAGCAGCGCGAGGAGCAAGCTGAACCGGACAGTACCGAGGCTGCAGATAAATCAGCTTACCTAATGGGGCTCAACTCTGCAGATCTCATCAAGGGGCTGTGCCATCCCAGAGTGAAGGTTGGAAATGAATATGTCACCAAGGGCCAAAGTGTGGATCAAGTCTACTATGCCATCGGTGCACTGGCCAAGTCAGTGTACGAGAAGATGTTCAGCTGGATGGTGGTGAGAATCAACCAGTCGTTGGACACCAAGCAGCAACGTCAGTACTTCATAGGAGTGCTGGACATTGCTGGTTTTGAGATCTTTGATTTCAACACATTTGAGCAGCTGTGCATCAACTACACAAACGAGAAACTGCAACAGTTCTTCAACCATCACATGTTCGTCCTGGAGCAAGAAGAATACAAGAAAGAGGGGATCGAATGGGAGTTCATTGACTTTGGGATGGATCTCCAGGCCTGTATTGACCTGATTGAGAAGCCGTTGGGGATTCTTTCGATTCTAGAAGAGGAGTGTATGTTTCCCAAAGCAAGTGACCAGACTTTTAAGGCTAAGCTCTACGATAACCATCTGGGAAAGAACAAGATGTTTGAGAAACCGAGGGCAACAAAAGGGAAATCAGAGGCTCATTTTGCCCTGGTTCACTATGCTGGTACAGTCGATTACAACATCAGCGGCTGGCTGGTCAAAAATAAAGACCCTCTGAATGAAACTGTGGTTGGACTTTACCAGAAATCCTCTCTAAAGCTGCTGAGTCTGCTGTTTTCAAGCTACTCAGCAGCTGATAGTGGAGAAAA